TCCTTTCTGTGTGATTAACAGCTGCAGCACCACAGTAATATTTTCTTTAACTCCCCAATTCCTTGTGAATAAAACATCCCCCCTTTGTAAGACATGGAAGAAAACAGTATGTATGACTCAAGGAGCTGCTGGACCTTTTTATACTCCATAAGACCATGGAAACATCAGCAAGTGCCAGCAGAGAGCTCAGAAACACCTGGAGCATTATCACACTACCTTGTTTGTGGTGAGGTGTTGGCCTGGCAGCTTTGAAAATGAACATGCAATTTTGAATCAATTAGAAGAAGCAGAATTTCTTAAAAATATCCCTTTTTTTTGGTACAATTGGAAGAGGGGTTGAGATACAATCCCCTGCAGCTGGAGGTGTGAGGTTTGCTGAGCATGCTGGTGATTTTTGATCTCAAATGTCAGTGCTGGTACTGATTGAGTGCATTGCTTCTCTACATGACTTTCAGCCAGTATTGACCCTGCTGTGTATGATGTGCTTACCTTGTGATTTATCTGGAGGCACAGTTTGATTCTTGCCTGCTGCTCTTCCCTATCCTCCTGTGATCACCCAGGAGTCAGAGCTGGATGTGGGAATAGCTCCATTGCCACATCCCCTCCAGGAGAAGGGATCTGTGTGTGTCCTGCAGGTCACACACATCCCCCTCAGAGCTTTTCAGACAGTCAGAACTTTCTCAGGCTGGCACTGGTGTTTTTGCAGCCCCGGCTGCTGTGCCCAGAGCTGTACTTCCCATTATCCTCGTGCTTCCCATTGTCCTGAAATGGTGCTCAGCACCTCAGCAATTCTGCCTTGACTCATTAGATATTCCTAAATGTGAGATGAGGCTCACAGGAGAACAAGCTCAGGCTTTAGTTACCAAGATTAAAGCATGAAGAACTTGATGCTTTTGCTGTAAACCTGGAAACAAGCAATTATAAGAACAATCAGTCCTAGATAATTGGGGGTTTTAGTGGTTTTGCTCCATCCTCTTCAATTCAAGGCCTTCTGAGTTGTACTGTGGGCTGGAGAGGTTTTCTCATGCTGCTTTTCCTTGGCACAGAGCCTGGGAGCTGAGGCATTTTATTCTTCAGGGCTGTGTCTGGAGTTGAGAATGGAGTTCACATCTCCTGCCTGTAATTGTCTTTTAAATTGCTTCTGCCCTGATTTGACTGAGATGCCTTAATAGATATTCCTGAGCCTTTGATAGAGTAACAGTTGTTTTTTGCACCATGCAGCAGGAAAGAAGAAGAGGTTAATTATAAATGCTTTCTGTGAAGCTTGGGAAGTGCAAGGCATTAATTACCAAAGCTCTGTGAAGACAACCCAGATCACCTTTTGGTTCATTATCAACACAGTTAATAAGGTGCCTTATCTGGATATGTCTGTGCGAGGAAACACATCCATCCCAGAGCCTCTGCTGGGATCTTGGGTGCTGCTAACTCCCTAATCCAGCAAGAATTGCCCTAAAATCTGAGATGGTGTGTGCTGAAGGGTTTGGCTGCTGGGGCTGTGTCAGGGGAGGCCAGCAGAGATGGGCTGGGAATCCTGGTTATCCCCCAAAAGCTGGGAGAATGCAGTGGCTGAGGGGAGCAGGGATGGCAGGAAGGATGGTGAGCAGCAGGAACAGGGTGTCCATCCCTGCTGAGCCCGGGGACAGGGTTGCCTGAGCTGTGTGTGTGTCACCCCTGCTCCTGCATGGAAGGATGATCCCACATGAGGTTATTTTTACAGTGGGAACAGTGCACAAAGGGTCACAGGACATCACACCCAGCCTCGCTGAGCCAATTTTGGGCTAATGATCACAGTCATTGGCCTCCTCCCAAAATCATGGTGATCATCACACAGGAATCCCTCACCCCAGGCTAACCTCAGCAGACCTTGCTTCCAAGGACAAGAGAAGTTTAAGTGCCAGGTGAAACCTCAGCTCTTGGTACCCAATGCACCCTGAGGGAGCTTCCCAGGGCCTGCTGTGGCATCTGGGTGCTGTGGAGGCCCAGAGGATCACAGAATTCACGGAATTCACAGAATAACTGGGTTGGAAGAGACCTCAAGACTGAGTCCAACCCAGCCCCAACACCTCAACTAAACCCTGGCACCCAGTGCCACATCCAGGCTTTGTTAAACACACCCAGGGATGGGGACTCCACCACCTCCCCATTCCAGAACTTTATCACCCTTTCTGTAAAACACTTTTTTCCCCTAATATCCAGGTTCTGGCTGCTCTGGCTTAGCCAGGCCCTGTTTGAAGAGCAGAGGAGCTGTCACCCAGCAGGGTGAGGAATGGGGGAGTCCCAGGGTGTCCAGGACAGGGGGATTTTCAGCCCCAGGTTGTTCTGTGTGTCCTCTGTGGGGTGGTCATGCTGAGAGTGAGAGTGGTGGAACTGCTCAGGGTGAACTCCTGAGCCACGTCACCTGTTTATTGCATTTGTTTGAGAATCCCTTTCCAGTTAGAAACCAGAGCTAGCAGCAGAGATAAAATTTGGCTCGCATCTCTCATCCTGTCAGAGGAGGAGGAAGACAAATAGGTGTGAGAAAATGCTTTGAGCTTTCATTTACAGTGACTTTGATTGTTCCATTGAGCTGACATCCCACTCTGATGCATTTCTACTCCTGCACATTTGAGTCATGTTATGGCAGTTAATCAAAACTACCTCTACTACTGATGCTGTTCCCCTGAACAGGCTGATAAAATCTCTGAAAAGCCCTAAGGCTGCTTCTTTTACAGCACAAATTATTACTGAGCTCAGTTTTTATGACCTGTGCTGTTGTCCTGCTTTATTTTCCTGCTCCTTGCTGCTCAGTGCAACACAGCTGCCAACTGAAGTGCACCCCAAATGGTGGGAATTAATCAATATGGTTATGACAAGCATGGCTGGATTCTTGGTGTGGAGCCACAGCATCCCAAAGCCTTCTGAAACCAACCTGGCTTTTACTGATGCTGCTCTGATCCCATTTCTGCTCCCACACCCTCCTCCCTTTGCAATCCTCACCTGGGGGCTGGGAAGACCAATGGAGTCTGGGGAGAAAAATCCCGAGTACATGCTCCAAAGCACCATCATGTTTCGTAATTCCTCCTTCTCCTTGAGGAGGTTTGGGGACACATTCAGAATATCTCTTCCACAGTGTGCAGCTGAGCACTTCTGCTCTGTGGAAGAGCTCCAGTCTGTCCACAATTTAAGATGAGACTTCATATTTTATTCAAGTGTTACAAGCCAGGCTTGTCTGTGTGCTTTGGGGTTTTATTTCAATGAGGGATATTAAAAGTTAATTTTAACAGCATCCTGGGAGTGGTAGTTGATGTTTTGGAGCCAGATAAGGCACTGCAGAGTACTTTTTAAAAAAGCTTTTGGCACCAGAGCCCCATGAATTGAACAAATTCCTGTACTATCTGCCCTAGAAATCTATTTTGTTTTATAAATTCTTATCTTTGTTATATATCTACACATAGATCAGTGCAATTCCTTAGACAGAGGAGATTTATCTAAGCTTCTATTGCAGTTTTCCTAAAAAAGCTGTGAGCAGCTCCTGTGCTCTTCTGGTCAGTCATAAACTTTCCAGCTGAAATCCATCTTTGGTCACATCATTAAAGTCCCTTTTAGTGGGTTACAACCTCCAGCTCAGCTGGAGGCAATTATTATCTGATATGTACCCTGAGTAGGACATAATTATACTTGTCACTAAGTGGCACTGTGTAAATTAGTATTTAATTGCTGCACATCAAATGAGCAGCTACCCAGCCATTTTTCTGTGAGATAAAGAGTTACAGCATTAGCTTCATCACTCTGCCTTCACCCAGCTTCTCATCTGTTCTCTTTGGTGCCTAAGATGCAATTTCATGTGATGAGACCTTCTAAACTTATTTGGCTTTTGCCCTGTAAACCCTCTTTGGTCTTAAATATGGTGGTAGAGAGTTTAACATGAAAAACATAGGAGTAATGGGGAAGATGCGTCCTTCAGCTCCTGCTGTTAAGATATAATTATTGCACATCTGGGGCCAGAAACCCTTTTCTGGCTGCTATGTTGATAAAATGGGAGCCATCACAGGGCCTGAGGAATGCAACCCTTTAGGATGATTTAGGTGGGCTGTGCTTTGGGGGCTTTTGCTTTAATATGGTGTGGATCACCCTGTCTGAACCTCATTAATGTGTGTGAACTTCAGCCCTTTTGGTAAGTTAGGGGTTAATAGAGGGGAGGAAAAGTCTGATTGCTGCAGTGCAGAGCTGTTTATCTTATCTGGCAACATCTGGACCTTGGACCAGACTGCTCTCCTTGGCTGCACTCCCAAGCCCTGGCTGTGTTTGGGATGGATGGACACGTATGCTGCTGGTTCCTGCTGCTGGGGCTGGGGCAGGCACACTCATGGTCCATGCACTGCCTGCCCTCAGCTGCTGGGGAGCCTCCCCCAGACCACTCAGAGTGGCACTTCTGAGCATTTCTCACCCAAAAAATTCCTTGCTTGGTCTTGTCTTGGTTTGGAAAGCCAGGTGTCTGCTAAGGAAGGCAGGAGCCTCTCCTGAAATGGAAAATGTAAACCCTCCCCAACCCTCCAAATTGATATAAATTTTAAATTAAGGGGCTCTCTGGCAAAAAATATGGGAGCAGGAATAACAGTTCTTTATTAGGGAAGAAAACAAAAGGATAAAATAAACAATGCAGTAACCAAACCAACACTGACAGAGTCAGAACCCAACCTGACACCCTGTGGGTCAGGGTGTTGGCAGCAGTCCCATTGGAATTGTGGCTCAGCCCTCCTGCAGTGTCAGGGCTGGTTCTGCTGGAGCAGGGATCCTGGAGAGAAGGATGTATTCTTCCTCTGAAGATCCAGGGGAAGAAGAGGCAGCTGCTGTTCCTCTGAGGAATCCAGTGGAGAAGCTGTGCTGGTGTTCCAGAATCTCCAGATTATATCCAGGTAGGAATGCTTGGCTCCTCCCTCTGGGCTCCCATCTCCCAATGGGATGCTGTAGTTCTTATCAGCCATGCAGTGACATTCAATAGCTGTTATCAGCAGATGTCTGCCCTGAGAGAGGAGTGGGTGTGGAAGAGATAAGGAAAACTGCCCACTGAACAGAAGACAGCTGCCACACAGATGGCAAACAGAACACAATTTGCTTGGCCATCCAGGACAGCTCTCCACACCAATGCTGGCAGATCAAGGAGCCATTTCAAGAGGCTCAGTTCTATGATTTTGGGGCAAAACCCAGATGTGGATGGAAACCTGAGGGGAGTGTAGTTGCTGGAGGATGTGTTTCATCCATGTGCTGGTTTTGGCTGTCTACAGTCCAAAATGTGGCTTCTATTCTCCCCTCTCTTGTGGCACAAAGCAAACAGAGCTGGTTAGTAGGGTGGATGGCTGCTGGAGCCAGGTGTTTGCTTTTCTGTGCTTCTGTCCCTCTTGCTGACACCAGATACCCCTTGGCAGAGAGGGCTGGAGGAGCAGCCAGGGCACGCAGCCAGCCTGGCCTGGGTTTACATTCCAGGCTGTAATTTCTAAAGCCGTTTATGCTGTGAAGTGTGGACAGACTGTTCAGAATAACAGGAGGAACATTTCCAGTCAGAGAAAACCTCAGCACTGTGAAGCCTTTCCTGTCCTCTGCCTCAGTGAGCAGGGTCTGTGGCCAGAGTGAACCTTCCTGTCCTGGGAAGGGGCTGCTGCCCTGGCCAGGAGCTCAGGCACTAAATTCAAAGTTTTTCATTCAAAGCTTTCTACCAGTATGTTGTCATCAACATATAAGTGCAGCCAAAAGCCAATTTTCCAAATTCCTTGCAGTCTGTGAGCCTCCCATCACAAGGTTTTGGTTTGGGTCCTTTATGGTGGTCCTGTAATCAGAAATTCTGTCTGAGGAAATCTGCATCAGGAAGACACCAAAAAGCCTTTTTAGTTTGTTCTTCTTCGCTATCTTTATCCTGCCCTTGTCTTTGGCACAAGATTTTCCCAGGATATTTATGCCAGGTCAGGGCAGTGAATCCATGGGTGCTGGGCAGCAGGAGCATCAGCCTTGAGCTGAGCCAGAATTCCAGCTGAGACTGACTTAGCATAGGACAGAGTGAAAAAATAGACCTGGCTTTCTCTTGATCTCCTTTGTCACACTTGTGAGCTAATCTGAGGGGCTAGAAACTAAACTGTATGTATTTTTTTAAAGTAAGGCCATGTTTTCCAACAATTCAGAAATTTCAGGAATAAGAGTGTTTAAAAAAAAAATCACTTTACATATTGAGACTTCATAGAAGACTGTTGGAGCTGGTGGCACAATGTCCTGTTGTAAGCTTGACAGGGCAGTGACAAATCTGGTTTTACAAGTCCTTGATTTCCAATCTGTGAAGTCATTATTTCTGCCTTGTATGTACACTGAAAAACATAGATGGGCTTGGACATTTATTTTTCATATATTTGGTTCATTGAAATCTCAGCCAGGGTGCTATTTAAGTGATGAATTTACTGTTATACAACACTGGGGAAATTCAGGGCTGAGGCAAAGACTCTTGTGGTTTAGAGCTGTAGGTGTTTACTCTAGACACCCTACCCCTAAATGAGACCTCAACACTCTGACTTTAGCACATTCCAGCCCTGAAAATCACCACAGGCTGACCACACAAGTGTGCACTGCCAGTGAGGAGTCCTGGTGATGCCTCAAATTTTAGTTTCTATATTTTTCAGATTCTGTGCTGCTTTAGTGTGTGGGTCTGGGTTCACATGAGGGAATGGTGAGCTCTGTGCACAGAGCAGGGAGACAAAACAATTCCTGCCCCAGCTGGGCACCAAGGACAAATGATCCAAATCTCAGCCCAAGAGCACAAACACCGTGGGCTGGAGAGAGAAAAACAAGGATGGGACGGCATGGGCTAAAGCTGGAATGGGACAATGAACTCCAAGATGCAAATGGAGCAGAACTGATCAAAGTGACAGACCATGTGTCCATTTTGGGTCAATTTTGGTTCATCTTGAGTGCAGCCCTGGCTGGGCTCTTGTGCTGCCCAAGGTGGATCCATTGAGGAAATCCTTTCAATAAATCCCTGCTTTATTCTATAACTCCATCTAGTCTCTGTCCTAGGTCAGCCTTCTCAAGGCATCATGGCACACCCAGTGCCTTTGGTAATGAGCTGCTTCTCTCTGCCCCATGGAAATAAATCAAAATGTGGCTTCTGTCTCCTCCAAGGGAGGGACTGTGTTCCATCCTGAGCCAACACTTTATTTACCCCGTGGGTGTTGATCCTACAACCTCCATCCAAAGACAATCTCCATCCAAAGACAATCTCCATCCATTTCTCTTTTTTTGACTCCTGTGTGCCGAGATCCCCAGGACACAGTGAAACTTCTGGAACTGTAACAGACATAAATCTCTGTAATTACATAAACCAATTTTCTCAGACTTCCCTTTGAGAGGTTTCTCACTGTCGTCTGTGATGAATAAATCTCTGAGCTCCCTCAGCCTGGTGCCTTTCAAAACCTGCCACGCTCTCCCTTCAGGCTGCTGCCAGGGACTTAATGATGGGTCAACATTTATTAAACACAGACTTCCGTAGCCTACAGCTGGCAAAATTTGTCCTTAAGGCCTGCCTGGGAGTTTGGCAAGGCTTTTGGTGGCTGGTTGCATAAGCTAGGTTTTACTCAAGGTAAATTTAGCTTCCCCCAAAGAATAGTGATGATTTCCTTTCATTCAGGGTTTCTAAATTGGACAGGCAGTGTAATTTCTGTGGGATGGTTGCAACAAGGGCTGGGTGCTGGTTTTTTGGGTAAATATTTGTCAAATTAAATGTTGCATTTGCTTCTGCTGGTTTTTGTATTCTTGTTTGTGGTGAAATCCTCAAATACCTGAGCTAATGCATTTGCTGTCAGGAATGCCTTTGGGGAAAGTCACTGTGAGTGATTTGCAGAAAGCAAATGCATCAATTTGCAAGTGTGAAAATTTTCATCAGAAATCCAGGTTTGTGAGTCTGTTGAAATCTCATCTGACTCTGGTGTCCAATCCAAACTGAATGGGATAAATCAGAGAATTCTCTGCAGAAATACCTGCTGGAAATGAACCCAGTAAATGATAATAGGTTCTTTTTAAATCGTGAGAGGCAAAGAAGAAAAATACAATGAATTATTGCCTTTGCTTTACTCTGAGACATGGCTCTGGGCACCTTGCACTTGCTGATGAGTGATGTGGGCATCAAGGGAGTGTAAAGCATCTCTCTACAAAGATATGCAAAGAAGCCATGTCACAGGATGCACAATTGGGCTCAGGAACCAGTTAATGGCATCATGACAGGCACTTTCATGGTCTGTTTTATTGTGGCAAATGAGGATCATCTCCATTGCCTGAATCCTTGGAACCTGTCACTTGTAATACACTGTTAATACATCAGTTGCCCAGAGCATGAAGGTGATTGCTGTATCCACAGTGGTGCCTGCAGACTGTTCCCATATTTGCCCTTTTCTTCTTCCTCAGGCTCATTAACTGAGGGGCAAAAAGTGATGTGGGGCAAATGCATGATGCTGGGAGTTTAATGAGTTTTTGGCTTCCGTTCCATAGTGCAGAATGACTGATTTAGAGGAGGCCATGAGAGGGAAAAGTGTACCTGTGGCTTTAGTGCTTCAGCATAAAGTACAATTCATTTTATCTATCCAAGGGAAGTAAATCCCACAGCCAGGCTAAGATTATAGTGAGAAACACAGCTGCTGATTTCTCTTTATGTTTGGATTACCTTCAGAGTTACTCAGTCCTATGAAACCGTTTGATCCATTTCAACTGGGACCAGCAGAGGAAAAGCTGATCTTTAATAAATAAATAGCTGAGTAATAAATAAATATTAGTAAATAAATAGCAGATAAAAGAATATAGATGTATTTCTGTGCTGTAGCTTGGGGGATGGTGTGTGTGCTTTCCAAGTCCTTCACATACATGGAGGGAATGACTTTGAAATGACCAAATGTCTAGGTTTGGCTGGGACAGCCACAGTATGTGGATATTATGTATGGATATCCAATACACTCTCATTCATGGTTTTGGTTTTGGCCATAGGATTTTCCATTTTTTGGCCAGGAAAGATGATTTTAAAATTGCCATAAAACAGCTGGACACCAGAAGCCATGGGAGCTTTAACCATCCTGACCCTGCAATGTGAGATACAAACCAGAGTTTGTTCTCCTTGTTGGGCACGTAGAGATCACAAATTCCTGGATGCAAATCAGGCTGGAGTGTTTGGATAGCTGCTGCTTCTGGGAGTAAATGATCCTGAGACATTAAATTCTTTCAAATGTCCATTCAGCATGACATCAGTGCTGGCACTGAGATGTCTGTGTGTTCTCTCTCCCATCACTCTCTGCTTTTTCACTCTGCTTTTTGAAGTCCAAAAGCCACTAGAGCTGTTGCTGATGGGAATAAACAAAATGCAGAGTCCCATCAGAGACTTAGGATTACTTAGAGGAAAAAGAGGGAAAAAAGAAAGAAAAAAAAAGCATGGAATAAATTTCAGTGCCTGTGGGAGTTGAAACCATGAGCCCTTTCCAGAGCAGGCACTGTGTGAGTGTGGATTTCTCCCAGTCTCAGTGCTGGGCCAAGCCCTCCTCCTCACAGGGATTTCAGTCTCTGCTCGCTCTTGGACAGAGAGAGAAATTAAAAACCCTGGTGATTTCATAAGGTGGAAAAGTGTCCACTTGTGAGAAATATTACACTACCAAGCCCTTCTGAAAAGGCCCCGTATTGGATGCCAAGGTAATGTTTCTGTGAAATGTGGCACTGCAGGATGACTTCTAGCTAATAAATCAGTGATGATAACATCCATCCCTCTAGGGAAGGATACAGATTCCTTTCCTGCCTGATGTGTATGGGCTTGAGTTCTCAACATCTGTCTACTTCATTTCTTGTCATTGCTGTAGTAGCACCAAGAGCCAAAGTGTTTGCTGTCCATCTCTTGACACCATGCCTGGAAATGGTCATTTGCTCCTCATGCCTCAGAAAAGGCAGGACCTGGATTCTTTCCTCACCCCAGGGTCCTGGCCAGCCAGTCCTGCTGGCAGCAGGGAGGATTTCATGCCTCCTATGTCTAGTCCAGTGTTTGGTGGGTATCTGAGCCTGCTGTCACCACCCCAGCTCTGCAGGAAGCCTTTCCTCAAAGTGATGATAGGAGTTTCACTGGTGATCATTTTTAAGGTCACTCTTCATGTCAACACAGCTGCCCAAGGAAGTGGGAACAAATTCCCTTCTTTTCTCTATGGACAGTGCTGAAATCTTGCAATTTGTAAAATTAGAGGTTGACTTCTCAGACTTGGGATGTGCTTCCATATTGATGCCTCAGGTTTTGGCTTTTCTATTTTTCAGATTCTGTGCTGTAATTGGACAATGAACTCCGATGTGCAAATGGAGCAGAACTGATCAAAGTGACAGACCCTGTGCCTGGTCATGCATTTTGGGACCATTTTGGTTCATCTTGGGTGCAGCCCTGGCTGGGCTCTTGTGCTGCCCAAGGTGGATCCATGGAGGCCTTTTCATAAATCCCTGCTTCATTCTTTAAGTCTCTCTAGTCTCTGTCCTAGCTCAGCCTTCTCAAGGCATCAATATCTTGAGCATGAGGCGGTTCTTTCTTTGAGGCAAACTTATGCAGGTAAATACCTGGGTTTGATGAGAGCAGCAAAGGGCTGGGAATTAGGCAGGTGAGTGGATGTGTTTGGGACTGCAAATAAAGAAACACATTTGTGGGGATGTACCCAGAATTTTTGCTCAAACTGAGTAAAAGGGAGGAGCTGAGTGTATAATGGGGCAAACAGATCTCTGCATTTTCAAAGTGCTTTGAGGGAGAGTCAAAATCCTGCGAGAAATGTGCTTTACACCCATCATGGCTATGAGATAAAGGAAGTATTTCT